GTGTGATTTAATGCTAGTTCTTGCAGTCACTAATGTGTTAATCTAAAAAGTGGTAACATTTGTTTCTTCGAGAATACCCACTGCTAGACTGCAACAACGATCCATTCTGCATAAATATGGCCAGGGGTTCATTTTATTTCCTTTAGAGTTCAACTTCAGCAGAATATGATTGTTTTGTTTTTCAGCTGGGTCTGCACCATAACACCTGTCCGTCTGCATTTTTCTTGTTGCGTGTTTATCCTGCCCATTACTTACTGCAGTAGTTTCTGGGGAGCTACTCCATTACAGTAACGTGAGTAAATGTAATTCGTTACTTTCCACCCCTGGGGGAATGGAGTGCAGCTGGAGGAAAACAAAACCAGAGGTAATTCAAATTGCATGATGGGAAAGTACCCTATCCTACAGAAGAGCAAAGTCACTTTTATTGTCACATCACCACAGCACACGTGCCTTGGTGAGTGAAATTCTTGGGAGCGTGCTCCAGACAGTGCAGAAACAATTTACATATAAACATACAGACCTCAACAGATGACAATGTGCAATATGCACATACATATAGTCAGTACACACAGTGTACTATTAGACATACTTACAGTTAGCACTACACATTATACACAGTATGTACATGCAGTTAGCAATACACATTTATACACAGCATGTACACATTCTACATTATGTAGACATATATACACAAAATATGCGAAGGTGCAACAGATTATACATTAACTGGATACGCAAAATGTCATGGATGTGCATTGGATGGTATCCAGTGGTAGCAGATAGATTATTGTGTTTAAATGCAGTGTGTATGTATAGTCCAGTATTGAACTGTTGGAGTTAAAGTGCAGTGTGTGGCCTACCGTATTGTGGGAGTAGGCTGTAGGGTGTATTAGTTCTGATTGTTCATTAGTCTGATAGCTTGAGGGAAAAAGCTATCCCTCAGTCGGCTAGTGCGGGATCGGATGCTGCGGAGACGTCTTCCTGAGGGCAGCAGAGAGAGCAGTCTGTGGGATGGGTGGCTGGAGTCACTGATGATCCTCCGGGCTTTCCTTATACACCGCCTGGTGTAGATGTCCTGGAGGGAGGGAAGCTCACCTCCAACAATGTGGCGGGCAGTTCGCACGACCCTTTGCAGAGCTTTGCGGTTGCCCGCAGTGCGGTTTCCAAACCAGGCAGTGATGCAGCCA